AAAATAATAAATATTATTTATTTAAATAATTATATACCTAACAAAATCTTTAAAATTTTTAAATTTTCAGCACAGGCACGGCCACACCTATAATCACAACCCACTCCACTGCAATGCCAAATATTCCCTTGGCTTCAAGTTCAGAGAGGGGAGTCATGTTGTTGGGATGATTTGATTTATCTCCGACGACTCGGAGAGACAGAAAAGAAGACAACGGAGCACCATTGCATCCATTTCCAATCGAGAAAGAATTAGAAAGACACCGCAAATGGATCGGTTACTGAAAGCTGCCAGAACTTCTGGCTCCCTCAACTTATCAAATCGCTCCCTCAGGCAAGTTTTTTTCTGACTCCATCAAGTTTGCGCATCATGGATCCCAGCAAATCCTCCATGATTTCATCACTTTCTTTTTTTTCCTGGAACCAAATTCAAGATCGCGTTTGATGTCCATTGATTTAGCTAACTGACTTCGTTTTATGTTCAGAGATGTGCCACCGGAAGTATACCGGAGCTTGGATGCGGTTGGCGAAGGTGAAAAGTGGTGGGAGGTAATTAATCTATTTCTTTTTAGTTTTTTCTCTTCGAGCTTCCATATTTTAAATTTAGTAGTTGAATGTTGCATTTAATTTTGAGTTTGGGATTGTTTTTGGTTTTGTTTAGGTTGTTGAGCTACAAAAGCTGATTTTGGCTCATAATAATATTGAATCATTAAAAGAAGACCTGAGAAATTTACTTCAATTGATTGTGTTGAATGTCAGCCACAACAAGCTTACCGACCTTCCGGCTGCAATAGGACAGTGAGTTGTTTCATTACAAGTTTTAATTTCTTATGGTTCCCTGTATTCTTAACCTATCTGCTTTGATGCTTGCTAAATTTCCGATCTTGTTTCGTTCTATTCTGACAGGCTTCCTATGCTCAAGTCATTGGATATTTCCTTTAACTCAATAGTTAAGATACCGGAGGAGATTGGATCCGCAGCTTCTCTTGTTAAGTAGGCTTCTCTCTATCATATGCTTAAATTAGAACTTTCCTTTTTGATTGTTACATCACGTTATTGTTGTTAAAGTTTGGTTGGTTAAGTTGTTAATGTTTTACTTCTAGGTTTGATTGTTCTGGCAATCAGCTCAAGGAGCTTCCAAGCTCCCTTGGAAGATGTTCTGATTTATTGGAGCTCAAGGTAATGCTTTAACGTGCTAAGTGAAAATTTTTGTGGGTGTGCCTTTGCAATATTTTGACGCAGAACTTTGTTATTTATAATTTCTGTTTTCCACATGTGGATCTGCTGTCAGGATGGCTTTAACATCTTTTGAACTCAAGGTACTCATACTAGGGGATTTAAAATATTAGTCCCTTCATGAATTCCATGGTCTTCCAGTGTCTTTTCAGCCTCATCAATAATATAAGAATTTTCTAGGAAGCCACAAATAATTTTTGAAAGAGGTTTCCAGCTCTACTTCTGTAGGTTTCCCAAAGCTGTTGTATAAGATTTCCAGGGATTTCACATGATTCCATTTCTTCTCACCTTTGTAGGTTTCCCACCTGTAATTCAAAGAGCACCATTCTCTTAATTTTCTAAATCTTCTTTAGATGAAAAATGTCATGCTTGTATTTGTGACAGTTGCTTATGCAACCTTTTTCTGCAGGCATCAAACAATTTAATTACCCACTTACCAGAAGAGCTTGCTAACTGTTTGAAGTTGACCAAACTTGATGTGGAGGTACAAGTAAAAACATGATTTCATGCACAAGGATACATCTTTTCAGCATTTTTCGAGAGTTGCAATGTTAATTAGTTTGTAATTTATTTTCTATCTGTGTCAGGGGAACAAGCTGACAGTTTTGTCTGAGAATTTGGTTTCATCCTGTGCACTGCTTACAGAACTCAATGCTGGTAATAACTCACAATAATATTGTTTGGTAGTTATCTGAAACCAATAAAACTAGTTCCTTCTTAACATCTACAAATTTTAAAATCTGTTTTTTTTTTTCATGCCCTATGCAGCAAAGAACTTGCTGAGTCATATGCCAGATAACATTGGAAGTCTTTCACGCCTCATACGTCTCGACCTTCACCAGAATAGTGAGTGATTTAAAGAAATAGAAGAATTAGAAATCTTCTCATTTTTTATCAGATGATAAGATATCCAGATTATTTGGTGCAGGAATTTCGTCAATACCACCATCAATTACGGGTTGCTGTTCCCTTTTGGAATTCTATATGGGGTCATATTCTCATCTTTTTTGCGAGACATTGTTAGGTGTTTTTGGGTTGATTGGGTCATATGGACTTTTTTCTGCTTCAAAGTTTTGCACTTTTGCACATCTAATATTCATCTGGGATTTGTTCTCCTACTTTTTAGGAATAATGCACTTTCAACATTACCAGAGGAGCTGGGTGAACTTTCTCACTTGGGGACACTTGATCTACATTCAAACCAGGTAACTGCTACTTTTTCTTTTGCTTTAGCTTGAATGATGTCCTTCTTTTTTCCTTTTTTCCTCTTTTTTGGGAAGAAAACAGACTCTAAATCTGATGGGCTGCAAAGTTCTGTTTTATATATTTCTTTCCGGTTTTAATTGGTTTTTAATGCTATGATACATCCTTAAAATGCAGTTGTAGAGTTATGTTTTCTAGGTTCTACGGAAGATAACTCTGATCTGTTTTTGGTTCTTGTGGCTGTCTCCTCTTATTACTCTTAAAAATGCTTATGGTGCTGGTTTTGTTGTATAATTACTTCACTTTCATGCAGTTGAAGGAGTATCCAGTGGGAGCTTGTAAGTTGCGCCTTTCAGTTCTGGATCTTTCGAACAATTCA